ATATATATATATATATATATATATATATATATATATATATATATATATATATATATATATATATATATATATATATATATATATATATATATAGTTGAAGTTTTTATTTTGCAATTATTGGGATTTTTTATGTAAAATAGAAGGGAAAAAAGATGGAGTAGGAATTAGGGTTAGCAAGGAGGTGACCTGAACTCTGGGGGAGGAGAGGCCGAGGACGAGGATCTTGGCGGCGACGTCGCCGGTGAGGCGGAGGTCGACGCGGTCGTTGAGGGCGACGTCGCGGACGAGATCGAGGGCGTCGGCCTGGAGCACGTTGAAGCGGTCGACAACGACGCGGGTCTGGACAAGGCGGCGACTCTCCGCCGGCTGCCCAAACCCCGGCACTGTCGCCACCCCCAGAGGCACCCCGCGGTACATCATCTCCAGCGCCGCCGCCTCGTACCGGATCCCCACCCTGTTCGGGTTGTTCGCTATGAACAGCAGCGTGATGTTGAGCGACAGATACGCTGCCGGTGGCTGGGCCCCGCCGAGGGCGGCGGTGGTGGAGTCGATGAGGAGGTACTGCACGGCCACCTGCTGAAGATCGAACTGAGGCTTCTTGGGCTTGAGGACCAGGACGACGACGAGGGCGACGGCGACGGCGAGGAGGGCGAGGAAAGTAAGGAGGAGGAACAGGCAGCAGCAGCAGCCCTTGAAGGAGGCGGCCGAGGAGGAGGTGGATATGGGCGGGCCCATGTAACGGCGGTGCCGGCGGTCGTCGAGCGGAGAATATCGCCGGTGGTGGTCGCCTGGGGTCGTCATCGCCGCCGAGATCCTCCCCCTCTTTGGATTTTGGAGCCTCTTCTCTCTATATCTCCATAAGTTGTGCGTGCATCTAAAGGGAGGACGAAGAGGGAAAGGGCGGCGAAGCGAGCTAGTGGGGTGACGGTGGAGGCGTCAACTGTTTGTTAGTGCGGCTTTAAGCAGTATTTGCTTTTATTACCTTTATGCTTTTAGATTAATAATTGGAGTAGAGTCGTTTGAAATTTTCGGATTCGGACTTGAATTGTCATGATATCCGAATCCGACCTACACACCATTCAATCAAAGGAATTTATAATGACAACTTTGTGCATCTGCAATTAAATTTTAACGTTCACAAGCTGGTTTGACGATGAATAGATCCTGTGTCATTTATTAGATTGATTTTAGATGAATTCAAAATTAATGTGGAAAAATAAACTAATTCTAACAAAAAATAAAGAGCCAATTTCGAATAAGCTCGGTTTTAGTCATCCGCCACAGACGAACGATCTCAATCTAATATCAACAATAATCAACAATTCGATATGATATTATTATATTATAAAAATGGATCATATTGGAAGTACTATGGAATGATATGAAACAATATGATATGTTGGACTCCGCATACTATGGAACTAAGCATAAAAGCTTGCCTAGTTGATAGTTTGCTTTAGGCTTCTACCTCAAGATCAATACAATCTGAACAACAGCTAAAGAATACAAACACCAAAATAGACAACATCATCTACTCAATAAACAGCAACCTTGAGGACACTGGGACTCAAAAACCATGCATACATATACACAAGGACATGCACTCATCTTGCTCCACAACAAGGTTTCGGATCCACTTCTGTCTCGTGCAAGCCTAATGCATGAACATATCGATCACCAGATATGAGCAGCTTTTGAGAAAGAACAGACAGCCAACACCGCAAGTCCAAGCTGTTGAGCACCAACCCAGCAACATTACTATATGCTATCCACTGAGGCTCCGCTAGTGAAGAATCATAATATCAGCCTTGAATTAGTCAGCATATTAGCAGCATATCGCTGAAGATCTGCACAAAAAGAATTGAATTTATACAATAAACACATCCAATCTAAAACGGTTTCCAGTTCATTAAAAATAAACTGATGGCACGATTCAGAGTTCTTAAATAAGCATCCCATTCTAGTAGCATCTTGTGAAAGCATATACCAACAAGATTGCTAGGACAAAACTGACCACTTGAAACTTCAAGACTAACAAAAAGGGTGACAGAGTGCTTTACCCATATGTTTTTTGAAGCGTCATTACTGAGTTAGTGAGTTCATCTCTTGTTATTAAACAAAGATAAATTAGATCCTGAAGAAGCTCTCAACGAACCCCTGACAAATGAATGCTCAAGCAGTTGTGAAGCAGTGGGTCGATCGTTGGGGTTCACTCTCACACACTTGCTGATGAAATCACGTGCATCTCCAGACAAGTAGTCTGGAATAGGAGGCTGTTCGCCACGGCCAATTTTAAACAAAGCTTGTGTCTGCAAATTAGAATGAACCAGTAAGTACTATTGACACCAAATGTGTTGACATTGATATCGTGCCTTTCCCAAACATATACAAGTAGCAACTGAAAATTGAAACTCAAGACAAGCAAGACTACTTAGCAGTAAAAGCAATTATAATAATTAGTAGTAATAGTAGTAGCAGCAGCAACAACAACATTAGTAGTAGCAGTAGTTGTAGCAGCAAAAGTAGCAACAGCAGTAGCATAGTAGCAAGTCAACATCGGCAAATGCAAGCCAGAATAGTTAGCTCTTTCAAAAGAAAGGTCACTCATCTCTATAGATCTTGCAATTTTTATAATTCCATTCTCCACCACAAAAAGTATAATAGAGAAACTTTCTAGTGACATGCATGTTCTATTATCACATTATGATATACGAGAAAGTGACTTGGCAAGAATGTTCCGTTATCATATTATAATATATATGGTAGTTGTGTCATCATTCTTAAGTCTAGCACTGTTCTGAATCTCATATAATCTTAAAAATGTTCTACTATCTAATCTCTAATCTTCAATCAAGTCGAGTATTAGTCATATGTTCTAAGCAATATCAAATGTCAGAATTTTTCTTGGTCTCTTTTTAGTATGCATTTGTAAAGTTCTTTGTGCTTCCTTTTCTACTTTTGCAAGCTTAAAAATTTAATGCTTAATATATCATGATCTTTTACTTGGCTATCAAATAATAAGGCCAAGTCATCTAGATTTGTCTAAATCTTTAATTAAACTAAATAAATGTTCTCACTGGTATTTGATATGGCTGGCTGCTTGACAGCAGTGATATTCTTTCAGGTCATATAGAAGTAATAATGTAATATATGAACTCCAGATAACATATTTGTCTGAAGGACTATAAGAAAGTAATGAAATTTACTATTTTGTTACTAAAATCAAGGTAGGCAATGCTGAATGATATCGTCCGGTACGGGCGGTATGTACCGGTCCGACAACATACCGGTACGCGGACTGTCCGCTACCGGAAGGAAAGAAAAATAAATATATATATATATATATATATTTTAGAAAAAGGTGATGTCGTTTTTTTCGGATTATATATATATATATATATATATATATATATATAAACGAGGTGACATCGCCGAGGCGTTGCGACGTCGCCTTTTAAATAAAAAATATATATATATAAATGAGGTGACGTCGCTTCGACGACGTCGCCCCGCTTGGGAGAAGAGAGAGGCGATGTCGCTTCGGTGACGTCGCCGAGTTATATATATATATACCGAGCGGTATACCGCTCGGTATATAGTTTCGTACCGTACCGAACGAATATCGAAACTCCGGTACAGTACGAAATTGCAGACCTTGACTAAAATGACAACAAAATGTTTTATTTGAAGCACTTGAGAGAGAGAAGATTGCATATCACTCACCCACTCAAGGTTAGGATAAGGTATCTGGCGAGTCAACATCTCCAAAACAGTGCACCCAAGGCTCCATATATCAGCAGCTGGTCCGTATGTTCTTCTAGGATTAACAACCTGGGAAAATGATAATAGTGATACCGGTGCTTTCAAATGAATCTAGAATTTCCAAAAATTTCATTAATTTTTGTTTACAAGATAATTAAACAAAATGGCTCAACAATCTTAGCTCTCATCCAAGAGATTAGTTAAAAATTGGCAGGCTCAAAACCAATATAAAAAGCAGGAGCTGCAGCTTATTATCTATAGTTTAAAACTTTAAATACAACAAGATCTGAAAAGAAACCCACAAAGGCAAAATATGATACTGAAGTTTTAGTTTTGATAGGTGCCAATGGGTAGAAAACTCCTAAAATGTGTTATTTCAATGGATTAAACCAAAAGCAGACATGGTCCTGGTTACCACATTACCATCTAAAAATCCTTATATATCACAACTTCATGATTGCAGCCAAAGATGAAAGTCAAATATACATTGATGTGGGTATATGTTCTATCAAGACATAATTTCCTCAAACAACATAAATAACAGATCTAAACTTTTATTTTACTTGACTATATATGTTGATATTGTGCACCCCAATAAAACAATTCTTGTGGTTGATATTTACATACTACCATTTTTATGAAGTTTGTCTAGATTTCTTAGCAGAAAACCTTCACATCACCTAATCTACTTGGCACTATTTATGAAAAAAGCCGGTCTTCTTGGTCTGTCTACTAGTGGAAAAATACAGATATTCTTTTTTGAAAACCAAAGAAAGAAAGCTAACCTCTGGAGCCATCCAATATACACTTCCTTTGCAAGATTTCAGCATGTTGAATTTGGTCATCTGAAAATTTTCACAGAAGCAATATAAAGATACTATGTTAAAAATCAGAAGCATAAAGTTTGAGAGAAACAGACCAACCTCCTTTGCCAATCCAAAATCCGCAAGTTTTACAGAGCCATTTGCATGAACCAATATATTTGCACATTTGATATCTCTGCAAAAGAAGTTGCCTTAAGGTTATATTTCTATAAAGCAGAAAGGAATGACAAAGGAAACCCTAAGTACAAGAATTGTATTATCTTCAGTCCATGCTGCTAATGAGAACATCTATACAAACTTATATGAAAATCTGGTCCCATCACCAAGCTATTTCTGATTATTGACAGAATTGAAGAATCAAAGACGAAGGCACGGGTGGCCCAGCTGGCACATGCCACCAAGATAATGGCACAGAACAGCATCACATGCCCTTCATATTTATTATATAGTTTCAATCTATATAAACTTTTAGCAGTGCATGTTTGCTGGAACACAAGATAAAGTATAACAAATGCCAACAGTGCCATGCACCATTATGCAGGGACACTACTCATATTGATAAACTGTAAAGCCATGGCACATGGCCCCAACTAAGACTGGCTTGGAAAGCACAAGATCCAAAAATTATAACATCATATCTTGAAGAGATCAAATTTACAAATACCAGAATAGATGTAAAAGTTAAAAAAGTTGCATCACCTGTGTACCACATTTCGCTCATGAAGGTAGTTTAAGCCATTTAGAATTTGCCTGGTGTATGCAGAAACTTGGGAATCTCGTAAGTGATACTTGTGATATAAAGATGCAAGGGAACCTTGCGTGATAAGTTCAAGGAAGATATATAGTTTTGAATCCTCCTGTAAAGATTACAAAACAAATAAATTTTCATTAGATAAGTTAAACTAATACAGAAAACTAACAAAAGCTTAAGAACAAGAATTAAAAAGGTTTAAATATCCCTAATTTGTTATTTCACAAATTGATAAATTTGCAACACCTAATCTTTGTTTTTTAGGACATTTCCAATGCCATGCTAGCAAAACAAATTTAAGGTGTGTTGTAAAATTAGTTTCTGGAAAGGAACCACTAAAGACGAGAACTAAGAAACGTGCATAGTTGATGAGACTTGATTTACAAATTTCTTTACTATATAAATATCACTTATCAGGAGAACTTTATACACAGTTCAAAAACTTGATGAAATATCGAGATTAGAAAAACTAGATACCTTGTCTGTCCCATAATACTGAACTATGTTTTCGTGTTGGAACTGACTTAAAAGTGCGATCTCCTGGAACAGAAAAGTCAAGAAATAATGCTCAGAACTGAATTTAGTTGAACTTCAAATTACCCTTTAGAACTATGTATATGCAATAACATGTATAACCAGAAAGAAAAGAAAATAATTTGCAAAGAAATTATTAAGCAACATTAAGAATTAGTGCAACTCAATAATCATCACATTATAGAAATTGGCATCATCCTACCTGCTCAAGTTGAAGAATACATTGTTCAGCATTGCTCCCTTGATCAAGCAAAGATACTTCTTTAACAGCAAAAAATACACCCTCGCTGTACACATGAAGAAAGAATATCTTAGTTGAAGAATAATATGACCATCCAATGACACTTATATCAATGTTAACCTACAGAAAATAAAACATTCCAAAGCCACAAGACCCTCCAGATGGTTATCCTCATTAGCAGATATATGGAATTATATAATGCTGAACATAATGGAAATATCATCCACGAAAAATCAAGTTTCATGTGATAATAGACCTCCAAGTAAAGATCGAGACATACAACCAACAAGCAAAGTTTGGCTGATTACAGGAAGCTAAAAATACAGTAAAAACTGACTAAATACTATCAAGAACCTATTGAACCTTACATATATGAGAGGGACACCCAAGAAGATGTAAATTTGTGAACGCTTTCAGGTATAAGCAAATAAAGTTCATTTCTCCCTAATATGACAAACACATTATTAATTGCTCATTTCTTTTTATAATATCCAAACTCAGTAACTACTTTATAAAGCTTAAAATACTTCAATTTAATAGAGTTGAGCCAATACCTACTTATTCTTGAAATTTGTAGACCTTCTAATTTTTCATTTAAAAAAACTCTGTTCTATTTGAAGCACAAAGACCTGAATAAAATAGAAATACTGCATACAGAAAAAGAAACTTTTGGATAAAGAGATGATTCATGCAAATGGGTTGATCAACTCATGAACAACTGTTGGCCAAATAAACAAATAACTTTATTTACTTAGCCTCTCTCTATTCTCCTAAATTAGAACAATCTCATCAGCAAATGTCGCAAACCAGGGAACTTCATCCAAAATATGCATTCTGAGTCCACTTAGAGCTTAAACAAATAATTAAGGACTAAAGAAAATGACGCTTGGACTAATATATTAAAATTGAGAAATCAGTAAAGTAAGCTGGTGCATATCGCTTTATCATTAGTAGCTCTACTATTTTAAATGCTTCAGCATATTTGATAGGCAGTAAATAGCTTGCATTTTGAGACCCACAACATTAAATCTCCACAAAGTATACACACTGTCATTGTGAAAAACATTATATGTGCAAGTTTCTCTCAGTATTTATTTCCCCATAACTTGTCTAAGTAAATAGTTACTTTGTCATAAAAAACTTCTTTACATTGCATTCTAACATGAATCCAACCAAATTATAGTTATACTCATCTCACAACTTATTCTTTATTTCTTTCTCCTTAAAAATTTCATAACATATTGTTTGTGCACCTATGTACAAAGTTGTAATGGATAAAGTACAACCAAGTGTAGCTCTCCTCACAGTTAAAGCTATGAGTTATTACCATCGCAAGTACATTACTTTTAGTTTGCATATCTCATAAATTCAAGAACCGAAAGATATTTGAAAACTATAATAGACCAATTTCTTTGAGTCAAGGAGTCTATACAAAAATAAATTAGCCTTCTTTATGAACTATGGGAGTATTCACAAGGTATCTTAAAATTCAAAAGAAGAATAGTCTAGATATTGCAACGTTGAGAATCTAAGCCATACGCATAAATCAAAACGAAGTTCTTGGAATACTGATTTTGCATCATCACTTACTCACTGATTCCTTCATACACCATTCCATATGAACCACTCCCCAGGAGCACACCACGCATCCATGATTTTATCCTCCTCTTGAACCTACCATTTGGTGAAATCATGAACATCGGTTCAGTAGTCGTACTGGATGAATCATCATCGTTCATCGTTGAGTAAGAAGATATTCCATTGAAGTCCTCAGCAGTGTCCCCCAACCACAGCTCCCTCAACTCCTCCTCAGTGACTTCATCTGCCTCAAAGACCCCCTCCTTGTCTTCGTTCTCCACAGAATCCACGGATTCCCTCCTACCTGCCTCAAGTACACCTCTCTCTGGAGCAAATGATTTGATAATATCCCAAGTCGAGCTCATCTTGTCAATGGCTGGAACTGACATCGATGGAGGCGGCTTAAGAGTTCGTAGTGGATTGTCATTTGTAGGTCTCGACGGAGGAGGTTCAAAGTTTGACAAAGGCGGTGGAGGAAGAAGGACCGGTGGCCGGACACCTCGAATTCCTTCATCTCCTCCTCTGGACCTCGGAAGAGTACATGGAAGCTCGACAGGTTCAGAGTCTGTAACCCTTATTCCAGGGTTCGAGCCATCAAGGAGCAGGCAATCTTCCTCCTCCGCGATCTTTTGGCTTATGTGCTCTTCTCCAGATACCAACGAGGGCCGAGAAGGCACAGAATTGGACGCCAAACTGGGATCTTCGTGGGTCGGGGTGTCCATCTGCAGGATTCTGGACCTGGGGAGGATGTCGAAGGACGATCGCACCTTGCGCCTCTCCCAGTCGTCGACAGAAATGGCGAAATCCTCGGGGCCACTGAGGCCGAGGCTATGGCACAAGATTTCGACCTCGCCCTCGATACTGCCGTCGATCCGGAAGCTCGTCTGATGAGCGCACGTGGACGGCCAGAGGTCCAGCGACCGGGTGCCGCGTAGGTCGCGGGGTTCCTCGGAGGCGGTGGAGCACGCGGACCACGACGCCTGCGCTGCCGGCGCCTCGTAATCGATGTTCTTGACCGCGTTGCATCGCTCCAACCTCGGCCGCGACCCCGTCCCCTGCTGCTGCCGGTGCCGGGAGCCCATCGCGCCACGAAAGCCGTAGTTCTTATGGTTGGAGAAGACCATGGGTCGGAGGTGACGCAAGACCCATCATAAAGAAGCGCCCCAAAGGCGAGATTTTGACAAGCTCATGAGGTCAAGGAAGCCAGAAGACGCAAACCTGGGAACCAGAACGCCAAATCCACAAGAAATTTCCGATGGAACGAGCTCTCACGCAGAGAAGGGGATTTGAGAAAGCCGCAAACTTTGAATCCAAGCAGAGGAATGGGCGAGAAATTGCGAGCAAATCGGGGGGGGGGTGGGGAGGGGGGGGGGTACGGGGGCCGGTGGGTTTCCGATTGCACTCGAAAAGATGCTTGGGGATTCCGCAGGATGTTTCGGCTTCGGAAAAGGGGCGAGTACGGAGGAGGACTTGTCCGAGCGAGTAAACGCGGCGGGGAAGACTTGATTTCGGCCGTCCGATTCATCAGTTAGCAGCCCCAGCCGCCGTTGGATCCCGGGAAGTTGGCGTCTCGGAAGTGCCGTCATTGGCCGCTTGGAGCCCGCCATCGTGTTCGTCGGTGGCGTAGTAACTCGTAAACATCACAACAGTTTGCACGGCTGAGATTTTTTTATTATTATTCTTTTTTTTTTCGGGTAGTGTGTTTTCCAAAGCAAGAAAGCAAATTCGATTACATTATTATGAATAATGAAAACATCATCGGAGCATTAAAAAAATAGATTAAATGATAAAAATATCAATGAGAGATGGCTATTGAAACATCTTAATGGTTAGTAGTCCGCTATTACGTAGTTCATAGGTATTTTTGCTCAAGTTGTTAATGAAAATATTTTGTACCTCATTTAATATAGTAATTAAAATTTAATTTTTAAAAATATATAAGATGAATGGAAAGACCAAGGGATATGCTCTTCTGTCCGGTTCATAAATAAAAAAAAGAAACAAAAACGTCGTCCAACGACTCAACATTCACAATCTCAATTTGTTTTTGTATTCCCTGATTAGATTCCTTAGCAGCCAATAGATAATTAATGGAGGAAAGCAGTGTTGATAAGCTTGATTGAATGAAAGTAGCTGTGACTAGATTTTGGATATTTCTTCGAAATTTGCGATTCATTTTCAGGGGAGACTTAGGAATAGGCAACCTGAAACACATAATCTGGGTGAAGATACATCAGGCTACAAATAATGTGTACAACTGCACCTTTTTGTATCAAGTAATTTTTAGTTGCTCTTATTTTTGAGCGATTTACTATATGCACCCAAAAAACATTAAATTATATATATATATATATATATATATATATATATATATATATATATATATATATATATATATATATATATTATAACAACATTTTGCAAAATTATATTCCACTTGAATTTCTATGATCATTCATCAAACAAGGGATTCTTAATATCCCAAAAGTAGAAAAAGAAGTTTCCAACAATGATGATGATAACCATTGACACTGAAAGGAGAAACTCCATGGCGGTATCAGTACTTCCAGATGAAGGATTCACCGATACATAAAACATGATAACTACAAAGCTCGAGGGCACACACGAACAACGTAAATTGCCTACCCAAATGCTACAGGTTTTGGTGTCGGTTCAGCACACCCACAATTAGAGAAGATTGTGCAGCCCACATAAGAGAACACCCAAGAACACTGAACAAGCACAACCAGTGGAAATTAGATCTTACTTGGTACTTCATCAGGCAATCGCCACTCATTACACTAAATTCACCTTTCGGTCCTCCAAGAGTTTAAGTTCCTCACGCCACCCATCCATTTTTCTCATCTTCTCCACTTGCTCAGGCTTCATGCTTTGCTGGTCACCCTGTAGCTGTGCTTCTGCGAGTCGTATCTGCGTTTTGGGAATCCTCAGACAGTTCAGATGCAGATCTTGAAACAACTTTTTCGCAAAATACAGAATACTCATGCTGCTAATTCTTTAATTTATCAGAAAAATTCAGACTAAAATGTCCAATAGCTATCACAAACTAGGTGGTGTATACTAACATTATTTCCATGAGGCACAGAATTTCTAAATTCCATAAAGTTCAAATTTTGATCAGTGATAAGGTTCTAATCAGGAAATTGCTGCACAAACTCTAATGATATCTGATCAATAAAAGGTTGCCCGACCAATTACCAGATATTTGCACATCTTGAAACATACAGAAAGAGTGTCTGTCCAGGCAAATATTTTCAGAACATAAAGAGGCATATCAGAGATACCTTCTTTTTTAGTGCTCGAATTCTTTTATCTAAATCCACACCAGAAGACTCGGCTTTGGGAATCTCCACTGTATCAGTGGAAGGGCTGACCACCACTGGTGTTGCAGAGACAGATATCCTACTTATCTGATCTGTAACTAATTCCACGGATTCCTCTCCTTGAGCAATACTTTCGGCAGAAGGAACCGGTTCAGTTTTTATTACCTCGGCTTGTTCTGTATCCAAGGTCTTTTCCTTTTCAAGAGCAGCCTGCATTTAGCTAGCTGGTCATACTTCCAGAATGTAATAAGTCTAATCTACTAAAATAAACCACAAACAAAAAAGGTATAGAGACATATGCTGTGATAAAATAACCAATATAGAAATCTAGCCAGTGCATAAAACAATCTAGGTAACAAAAATCAAGCTAAAAAAAGTAATCTCTTGTAGAATCATAATAAATAAATTTGAATATATGGCACTGGAGCAGGAGTTGGTGAATGGTAATGATGCATCATGGTATGAAACAGTCAGCCCATGGCTCAAGATTGCTACAAGTCTCAGTCAAATGAAAGACATTACGAGGAGGTCTGCTATACAAGGTAGAAAATGCTTTGTACTTGGAGGTGTCAGCACGGGAAGCATGTAAAAATAAGAGAGGAGTCTGATCAGAAATAATTGGGAAACATAATCGACAGCATATTCTTAGACCCGGAAACATCTTTTTAATAAATTACAACATATATTAACTTGAGGTGTATTCTTGAGACCCACAGAAGATGTACACTTTCACAAATCACATTTGATATCGATCATCAAGTTGCAATAGCAATTTCAAATTTTAACTTGATATCTATATGATAATCAATTCAACCAATTTATAGCTTCATTATGGCTTCAGCCAACTGAAGGTTGCATTTGGCTCAAGGGTGTAAGCTAGATTGACTGAGCTGCTGAACTATCACCCACTTTATCAAATAAAAATAATTTATTAAGATTGGATCCTCTTATAAGTTGGTTTATAAAAGGCTCCAGTTCTGTAAAATAGACATTTTAGATAAACTAAATTGCCATTAATGTCTAGTTCATCAGAAAAAAAAATTAAAATCTATCTTTCTGGAGTGGGCCTAACATATATGTCAATATCATTATTCAATAATAGCATAAACCAAAAGCTAACTTCACTAGCTTCCAAAAAAGTGAAAAATCAAAAGATCAAATTAAAAATATGTATATAATAAAAATGAAATGTATGAAAGATCATCATATACTCTAAAGTGTTCAGAATGCAACTATTTAGTATAAATGTCATTCAATAAGCTAAATATACAAACTCTACTAGTTAAAGATAGATATAATTTTATGAAATTAGGTGAAGTTACTAGGAAAGGTAAAACAAGACAATTATGAACAAGGATAGTTCTGATTCAAAATAAACTAATAACAGCTCACATGTTTGAAAGAAACTTAGGAATGGATCATTGTTGTTAGTCCAGTGAGCCCTTCTTTTTCAGTCTTGATAAGTAACAATAAAAAATGAAGTAAAAGAGACACTGATATACTCAAAGGAAAACAAAATAATGAAAAATCTATTTTTGTTTACTAAAAAGAAATCTACACATGACTCCAAATATGGAAGGAGACAGAGTTCATATTGGATCATCAAAGATCGAGACAATTACCTTATGAATGGCATGCTCATTTCTTTGGATAGGTCATAATATTGGTATAAACTAGAGACAATATTTTGATGGCTTCAGGGATTGAAGTGGCTAGTTGATGGACCTTGCATATAGAATATTTAACTACCATCAATGCAAATGCAGCTTTTAACTCATAAAAACTTTGCCACTGTAAATTCTTGTACCTAGAATGTATAAGTAATGACCTTAGGCCTTGTATGCTGATCCTAACTAACAAGTTATACAAGGAACAAATTTTGAAAAATATTAGCTTCACATGTTGTATCTCAACTATGAGACTCTGGAATTCCACATGGCAACGTCCAGTGCCAGGACCCTCATCAACAGTGCAGAAAATCATGGAAACAGAAAGCAACTGTGTAACATTCCATTAAGCATGTTAAAATGTACCATCTAAAAGATATGCAAAGATATCCGAAATCTACTATCAAGAAAATTGAGCAATTACGGACAATAACCACATTAAACATTTGAACTGCCAGAGTAGATCTTGGCATTTGTCTGACGCTCTGACTCAATAAATTCTGAGAACAGTAATGCTAAATTACCTCTGATCCAATCAAGAATATACCACTCGGAAACAACTCTACCAGCCACAGTCAAAAACACCTAATCCAATCAAGAATCATCCAATTTTCCATCTTCTTGAGTATAACAATCAGAAAGTTCTTAACTTAATCATGCACAAACACTAAAACATGGCTGCTACTGGCTGAAATCATTTAACAAGATCTGAGACAACATAAGCTTAGCAATCATATCCAAGAAATTATTCTCCATCAATCTCCTCTTCAAGCCAATCATAAGCTTTAACACAAATCTTATGTTCTTAATGTAATTATCTTTTACCAATGGCTGCTGATATATCATATTCCTTCGCCTCAAGAAAACATATGATATTTCTCAAAATATGACCACAATGGGGAGCATAGGCTAGGTACAATGGACATCTTTAAATTGGTTGATAAACATGAGAACCCATAATCTGCCAATAATAAAAAGAGACAAGCGCATATCATGGATGGCATGTATATTACACAGATCTCCTTGAATCACAAGACACATCCAACAGTTTTCACAATCATCAGACAGTCAAAAGCACCAACACAATCAGATCTGCCATGGGGGCCTCAAGTAATATTGAAAGATGTCCAAAGATGCTATCTAGATCTCTAACAAATTATTAAACAAAACGTTGTACTTGTATGTTCCGCAACAAATCAAAAACACTGTTTGACCTAAGACATCACAGCAATCTAACAACATCAGTTTGATGCACAGGATATCCCTGATCGTGTTCATGTTTAGGTAAACATTTGACACAATTTTGAATTTTAAGATCCTGATAAGATCTGTCAAGATGCCAATAACAAGAACTATTTCCAAAAGAAGAATCACTTTCACCAACACGGAATTGCCTCTAAATATTTCTGGCATCATATCTTT